CAGAATTAGAAGGGACCTTGGAGGTCTTCTAATCCAACCCCGTGCTTAGGCAGGAAACCCCATCCCGTTTCAGACAAATTGTTATCCAATCTCTTTGTAAGAACTTCCAGTGTTGGAGCATTCACAAATTCTGGAGGCAAGTTGTTCCACTGATTAATTCTACTAATCAGGATACAGACGGATTGTCGTTTGGAACACAACATGCCAGATATCACAATTGTCAAACACCAAAATGAACAATTTATTGTCCGTTTCAGACAACTGACTGTCCAGTCTCTTCTTAAAAAACCTCCCGTGATGAAGCTTCCACAACTTCTGAAGGCAACTTCTGTTCCATTCGTTTATTGTTCTCACTGTTAGGAAATTTCTCCTCAATTCCAGGTTGCTTCTCTCCTTGATTGGTTTTTGTCTATTGATTCTCATCCTGCCTTCTGGTGCTTTGGAAAATAAGTTGACTCCCCCCACCCCCCGCTTCTTTGTGGCAGCCCCTGAAAGAGTGGCATACTGCTCTCATGTCACATCAGAAATTTCTGACTAATTTGATTCTGAACTTAACAACGGAAGCAAGACTGTTGTTGGCGCAGTACTGGAAGAAGGAGGAATTGCCTACTATTCAAGAATGGACGTTAAAAGTAACAAACTTAGCAGAGATGGCTAAAATATCAGCATACCTCAAGGACCACTCAGATGAGAAATACAAGCTGGAATGGAGAAGATGGATTGACTACATTCAAAATAAATATGGGACTAAGAAATTTCAATTAACGTATGAATGAATGAACAAGGGCTTGATTTTCTCTCATGCCACCCCAAGACCCGTACTCACCACAACCGCTTTGTGTTCTCCAGTCTGTAATGCTCACACCCTCGTTGAGGCACTGAGTTGCATAAGCCTCTAGAGCTTTGCACAGGATGCCCTTGGCACCCCCGCTGAGACAGACGTCATAAATGCAGCTGTCGAAAAAGTTGTCCGGGTTTAACTTTGGGTGGCATTTCTGGAAGGGGCCCTTGTCCAATTTGGTGAGGAGCCCGCAGAATTTTTCACTTCCAAAGAGTTCCTGATTGCTCTCCTCACAGGTGGGACATCGGCCCTTGCATTCATCCCAGCAGAATGGATCGCGGTCCTTCACTTTCCAACTTGCGGCCCACTCCACCTCAGAATTCGCCTTGACCCCTGCAGCTGTCATCATGTCGTCCTTGGGGTTTTGGTTGAAATTCCCACAAAGGCCACAGACAGAATCGTAGTAGCTGCTGGAGAGGATGACGGAAAAGATGTACGCCCCGTCGAAGGATACCTCCAGTCCAAAGTCGGTTTGCAGGATGGCCTTCACGCCACTTCGGAAAAGGTGGATTTTCCCATCTTCCAGGGTCACAGGCAGGTTGGTGATGACCCCGTTCACCTGTGTTTTCAAACAGAAATATACATACATAATGTATGGACACAGATGTAGGAGAGAAGAGAAGAGGAGTGAATAGAATAGAATGGAATAGAATAGAATAGAATAGAATAAGAGTAGTGTGAATAGAATAGAATAGAATAGAATAGAATAGAATAGAATAGAATAGAATAGAATAGAATAGACAGTAGAGTAGAACAGAACAGAATAATAACTTTATCGTCACTTTGAATGTACACTAATTGGCATATATTAAAATGAAATTTTGTTGCATACAGCTCTCAAAGCAGAGGTGTTATTCAGCCAGTTCTGACCAGTTCTGGAGAACCAGTAGTGGAAATTTTGAGTAGTTTGGAGAACTGGCAAATAGGCTGGCCACGCCCCTGCTGCCTCCCAGCTGATCTTCTTTGGTTAGCCTGAACAGGAAAACGGAACTGGAAAGCAGTTAGTGGGGTGGGGAGGGAATGGGGATTTTGCCATGCCCACCAGGCCACGCTCACAAAACCGGTAGTAAAAAATTTTGAATCCCACCACTGGTTAGAATGCAATTTAGTTTAGCCAAAACCTCTTCTGGCACTGGAGTCCATCAGGGAGAAGTTTCAGGACCCCCACAAAGGCCTCATTTAAGCAAAGAGTTTGGTGCTGCCTGCCCTTTTTTTGCTTCCGTGAATTATGTTGCCTCTGCCGCATGAATTCATCAGAGGGAATGTAGGTCACCTTACACTGGCCTGCTTTGCATTCAGAATGTGATGATCAAGTCACATTTTTGGATGGGCTTCGCATATCAGGTGCCAGAACCTGGTCAAGCTTAGCTGATCTCAAAAAAAAAAAAAAGAAGAAGAAGAAGAAGAAACTAAGCAGGGCTGGATGTGGGCCGTATCAGGATGTGAGACTACACTAAAATTCCAGGACTATACGAGCTTGATGGAAAGAACATCCCAAGAGAAGCTAGCAAGCTACTTCTTTATCACTGCCAAGCAGAGGTGGGTTCCTACCAGTTCGCACCTATTCGGTAGAACCGGTTCGTCAAATCTACCGAACCAGTTAGAAGAGGTTCCACCAGTGGAACCGGAAAGCAGGCCACACCTACAGAAGAGGTTCCAAATTTTTTGAAACCCACCACTGGTCCTTGGATATGATTATTCTACACTATCAAGCTCATATTTATAAAACTCAGTGCTTCTGTGAAAGGTAAGGATGACTACTGCGTTTGTGGTGCAATCAGAACATTGCGTGTGTTGAAGTTGTTTTAACGCAAACCAAAGATGCCTTTTAAAAAACAAGTTGACATCATATTCTTATGCAGGCCAGTGCTGTGTGTGAGGTAAGTTAAGGTGGTTCTGACAAGTGTCATCGGCATCTTCATATCCGGTCACATGGGCGGCAAGCCACACCCATCCGGTCACATGGGCGGCAAGCCACTCCCACAAAGGAGGCCACACCCACAAAGTAGGTTCGAACAATTTTTGAAACCCACCACTGCTGCCAAGAAAACAATGTGAAAGCAGGTATGGGTTTCAGCCAGCGTTACTGCCGGTTTGATCATGCACACGTGCTGGATGCCCGCTGCGTGTGCATGCGCAGTCCAATGGAAATTGTTCTGCTTATGCGCAGGAAAAAACCCCGAACTCACCGAGATTTTGCCTGAATGCCTCCTGCCGATAGTGATGTTGTATCCGTACACATAGATATTGATCAGCCGCACGAAAGAAACATCTTGCCTCCCCCGGTTTTCATTCTTATGATTCACCGCAAATGGAACCAGTCTGGTATCATTGCCACAATATTTGACCAACGTGTAAGTGCAAGTCCCTTGAAAGTTCACCTCCAACCCATCGAAGGTGTGATAATGGGGTTCTCCCCAGCCATAGCAGGTCTCATTGTAAGTCGGGACACAGAAGGCTTTGCCATTCTTTATCTCACATGTTTCTTTGACCCGACACTGTAAGGTTTTGCATGGATCTGATAGAAGGAAAGACATAAAATCAAACATAGTACCGTGTTTTCCCCCAAAATAAAACAGTGTCTTATTTTCTTTTGACCCCAGAAATAAGCACTTGGCCTTATTATTGTTGAGGTGCAGGAGGCGGTGAGCGCGGTCACTTCATGGCTGCTGCTGTGTTGCAATATTTTCGAGGATGTCTTATTTTAGCTCATGCACATTTTAGCTTAGCAAATGCCCGATTGGGCTTATTATCCAGGGAGGTCTTATTTTCAGAGAAACAGGGTAGAGGGAGCCCTCAATTTACAACCATTCAATGTTACAATGGCACTGAAAAAAGTTTCCTATGGCAGTTGTTCACACTTATAAGCTGGTTGGCAAGTGCCAGAATTGCAATCAGATGTTTGCATAACTTTGTGTGATGGTCATAACTTTGAGGATGAGTTGTAAGTCCACTTTTCTCAGTGCCACTATAACTTTGAACCATTGTTAAATAATTGTTAAGTCGAGGACTAACGGTACTGCATGAATTCCACTCTAGGCAGCAATCTCATTGTATAGAAAGTCGGAGTCGGAGTCAGCTGTACCTTAAATACATCCTTTGGGAAATATTTTCACTGAGTTTTTTAGGACAGGATAGGATAAATAGTGTTGGATAATCTGGGATGATGGTGGTAGGTCAGGGTGTTCTTGGAAACTAACCTTTGGGTCATCCATCCCACTGTGCTAAACAGCAAAAGACACTCCTGGGATATTTTTTTCCCAAGGGCATAACTTTACTGAAAAGCCATATGCTGGGGGTTTGCAGGGGTTTGAGTGATCCTCTAGCTAGGATTCTGCCCAATTTGGCAAACCCCCAAATTCCACCCCTGGCTGGCCACTCCCACCCTGGCCCTCCCCTCCCACCCCTCCCAGGAGTCTCCATGTGGCCCGTTCATCATGCCAAGTACATGCAGGACCTGCGAAGAGGCTCAGGGAGAGGGGGAAATGGGCCTGCCAGAATAGGTTCCAGAAGTCCAGAAATAGGCCTCTCTCTGGCCTCCAGAGAGTCTCCATAGCCCGGGGAAGCAGTTTTCACCCTCCCAGTGGCTCAAGGAAAGCCTCTGGAGCCTGGGGAGAGTGAAAATGCCCCCCCCCAGCCATGGTCACGCCCACCCAATCACAGAGCAGCAAACCCATTGCTGCAATTTTTGAAGCCCACCTCTGCATATGGGTACAGAAGTGGAAATGCCAGCTCTGATGATTTCGCGCGCGAAGCAGCATAGTGAAACTTTCCCTTTTCCTCCTGGGCCTCCCATTGTCCATTGTCCATCAATAAGCTGCAAATGAGTTTTAGGAGCAGCCTGTCTGACTCGGAGGTTCCCAACTGATGGATGACCTTGGAGTTTGGGTCCATCTCATGCTTCTGGGCAGCATGAGTTCTTTCCAAAACCTCTCTTACAATCCAATGCCTTCCCTTCCCATTCTCCTTACTGTTATCTGGTTGAGAGCAGGGCTGCTTAGTCAGTTAACCATGAAATGTTGTTTTGGCAGGTTGTGGGATACAGGTCATCCTGCTAAGCATATAGCTCGATGCAAGATACACTGTATTTCGGTGATTTGGGATTTAGGGAGTTAGCATGTGCTAAAACGTAGCTCTTGACTCCGTTACCTTTATTAATGCAGCTCATGATGCCATCTTGGACTTGACAGTCTTCATCAGAAGAACAGTGGTAAGATTTGCAAAGGAGTCCCTGCCCAGGGAGGCACCGACAGATTTCCTGGCATTCGTTCAGCAGGACCTCCTCGTTGGGCTGAGAAGGCATGGAACAAAAGAAGCATTCAGCACGCTTAGCCTCCAATGAGTATTTTTAAGCTCCCATCAAGGAACAGAAGGCGATTGTGTAGCACAATTCCTAAGCTCTCCATTCTGTCTATGATATTGAAAATTCTTATTGTTCCAATAGGAGGGGGGGGGAAACCAAGAATCTGGGCTCAGCGATATAGAAATTCTGTGTGTCTCATTCAAAATAAGAAAGCCTCCTATGCTATGATAATAGCAAGTTAAGAGCTGGCCTTCTCAGGAGCAGCTCTCCGGTGTAAGATGTTCTCAAAGAGATCCATCTGATACCTCCTCTATTGTTCTTTAGGAATCCTTCACAGCTCTCCGTATAATCATCCAAGCTTTTAAACTTCCTACCGCCCTTTTGCTACGTTGATAGTTTTCGTTTCAGCAACAACCACATACAGTGATGATGACGGTGATCATTTTGCAACCAATCCTTGCATTTATGACCTTGGCGGGTCTGTGAAGCAAAGGAAAAGCTGGAGTAAGATCAGCTAAGTTGCTTCACTTAACAACTGAGTTGTTGGTCCCAGTGCTGGTTGCTAAGCAAAGATGATCTGTATAACAATTTAAGTAGTTTCATCTCTAAGACAGTGTTGGTGAACTTTTCCGGCACCAAAGGCTGAAACGGAAGTGCGTGCGTGCATGCCGGAAACTGGAAGAGCAGCCTCCTGGTGTCCATGCACATGCTGGGAAGATGATCTTCCCAGTTTCCGGCACTTCCCAGTGCACATGCTCACCGACCACCTGGTCTTCACATGCTGGAAACCAGAAGATCATCTTCCCGGTGGGTGGCTGCTCACGGGGTGGCTGCTCTTCCAGTTTCCTGTGTGCATGTGCATGCAAAGACCAGGTAGTTGGTGAGCCTTCATGCGCCAGAAAGCAGAAGATCATGTTCCAAGCGCATGAATGCAGACCTTCATCAGATGAAGGTCATCTTCCTGACATGGTAAAGACCAGGTGGCTGGCGCGCCAGAACCTGGAAGAGCAACGGGCAACGGCTCGCATGCACGGAGGGATGGCTCTGTGTGCCACTTCTGGTACGCGTGCAATAAGTTTGACACCCCAGCTCCAGGATATGTACTCTCTCTAAATCCTTTTGCTGTTTTCTTTATTCTTCATTCCACCCCACCCCAACCTTTTTCTTTCTTATTTATTTTTCGAGCAGACCTATATTCTTTTTTTTGGACGTAAGGAAGAAAATGTTTTGCCCACGATTGGCTTAGTTAGCTTATTAAAGGTAATCCTTGACTTACGAGCAGCTACTTAGCGACTATTTGAACCTACCATGGACATCCCCAGAGCTACTTACAACCTGGATCCCAAGTTCCAAAGGTTTCAGGCTCACGTGATCACAACCAGTGAGAATTTATGGCTGTGTTCAGCCTCCCACAATCATGTGAACATGATTTATGACATTTTTTGTGGGAAACTGTTTTTTCACTCAAAGGATGCATGTTTTGACTGATGCATTTGCTTAAAGATCACAGTGATTCCCTTAAAGATTGCTGCAGAACAGGTCACAAAATTGTTCATGGTCGCGTGACCATCTGCTTTAATGACTGTAATTCTGGGCTCAATTATGATCGTATGTTGAGGATTACTTACAGAAGAGAAGAACGAAGGAGCCCCCGGAGCAAATCTTGACCAACAACTGCACTGGGATGGTCAGAAATGAGGCTGGGTGGGTGGACCAAAATTGATTTGGTCCAAAAGTATCAACGGCGGTCTCGGAGTATCGAGACCGCACGTTTTGACATCGCGACATTGGCTCCTCCTACTCCTCCCAAGAAGCTTCTTGGGTTCTGACCGAAGTGAAGTCAGAACTGAAGACGCTTATTGGATGAGAAGGAAAAAGTTTTCAGGGAAAAACAAAGCCCAGTTGCCTTTTGAAAAAGTAACTTTGGGACAACCATGACCTGGAGGACTGAGAATCTCCATTAACAGGAGGCTGGGTAGAGCAAAGATCCAACTCCAGTGAAGACTGGAGCCTTACCCTATAATAACTTCCATTTCCAAAGCATCCACAGCCTTCCATTGAGACGCAGCCGAGCCCGTCAAAGAAGTACCCAAGATCACACTGGCACCCCTCGGCACAGGTTTCAGGACATATTCGGAGCCCAGAACAATCGGCAGTACAAAAATCAGCACATTCTTCATAGTGGCTGTGGGGAGGGCAGCTCAAAGCTGAAAGAATGAAAGAGATGGAGAGGAGAGACATGGGAGAAAATGTCAGAGTTTGTTGCAGAAAAATCAAATGCAGAAAGCACACACAGATAACTGATTCAGCTGGATTTATTAACTTTGTTATATAGATAATAACAGATGGATAAATGTACAATACCAATAGTAGGTTCTTTCAACATGGTAGAAGTTACAAGCAGAACACAAGCAGGAGAGAACAGTTTCATTTCAGAGAAGACAGAGATCAGCCTTGTTTCAGTTTTGATTCTCAGCACAGACTCAGTTCTGTTTCAGCTCCCATTGGCTGACTTAGTTGCTATGCCTATTCATTGCCTGACCTTGTTACCATGTCTCTCCCAGTCATGAATATTCTAACAGAAAATGATTCGCATTTAATGCTTCATAGCAAATTTCTGCCTTTGGACCATAACTTTTGGAGGGGGCATGTGCTGAGCAACTGCGGCTGAAAAATAATGCTTTCTGTTTGAATGGAGAAAATTGTTGTTCCTTTTTATGTAGGCTTATGTAGGGTTCTTTGATGTCTTAGCCCCGTGATGGTGAACCTGTGGCATGCGTGCCACAGGTGGCACACAGAGCCTTCTCTGCGAGCACGCCAGCCATCACCCCAGCCCACCTCCACTGCACATGTGTTTCTGCCTCCTGCCAGCCAGCTGGTCTTTGGGTCTCTGCTGTGCATGCACGGGGAGTGGGGTGCATGTGTAGGGGCAGGGAACATGCGTGGTGGGATGCTCACATTGCATTTTGGGGCCAAAACTGGTTCCAGGCCCAAAACTGGGCATGGGAGGGCATGCGTGTCCCCCCACATTTTCACTGGCAGAGCGATCACAGCCATTCATTGTTTCCAGGGTGGTCCCATGGGCCAGATCTAAGCACCCAGTGGCCTGCATCTGGCCCCCTGGCCTTGAGTTTGACAGGATTAGAAGACCCCCGAAGTCTTCTGGACTAAAGGACCCCCAAAGTCCTTTCCAATCCTTTTATTCTAAGATTCCGAGAACTGGAAATCAACATTACTCACGGCAGAAAGATGGACTTCTCCATGGCTGGATAAGGACCTTGGCTTCTTGACAAGCTGACACGTAGCTCTGGATGCTTTGGCACAAGGTCTGGCTGTCTCCATTGCTTTGGCACAAATCATAGATGCAGTCATTGAAAAACACGCTGGGGTCCACCTGACTGTGGCAACCCTTTAAGGGGCCATCCGAGGCAGT